GTAGTAGTATCTACCATGAAGAGGGCTGAGAACAAACAAAGCACTGGGCCCACATAAGCTCCCAACAAGTATTACAAGTGTTAGCTGTCATTATCATCACCGTCATGATTATTATTCCTGCACCCAGTGCTGCATGGAGCACCCTTGTACACATTCCTTATTGGACCCGGGCCTGAGTTTCTCTGGGGTGTAGACTCCAGAGAGGGATGGCTGGGTCATAGGGCGTAGGCGCACTTAATTTCACCAAGTACTGCCAAATTGCTGTCCAGAATGACGGCTCCAGTCTACATTCCCACCATCGGTTCCTGAGGGTTCCGGGAAAAGTTTTCTCAGCCAGTGAGAGCACAGATTTTAACAAGTCTTCTCTCCAGTTGCACTGACATCATCTGTCTGGGAGACTTCTGTCCGAATTGGGTGGACACGTGGCTGATTTAGGAGTCTGTGTTCTTCCACACTCCAGAGCCCTAAGTCCTGTAGTGATTATCAAATGGGCTCACACCTTGGGGGGCATAAGAATAACCCTGGGAGGAGGTTCAAATGCTTTCCTTTGGGATTCTGACCCACACATCCTAGGAGAACATGCACCGCTCTCTCCTTAATCCCAAGTAAGAGTCCCTGCCTCCAGGAGCCACCGTTGCTGAGGGACAGGTGTTTTCAGCGCGAAACAAAAGGTGGAGAATCACAGCGGGGAGACTAAGCCTGCAGTGGCTCCAGGATGGAGCCTGCGATACAACCCGATGGAGTGGGAAGATCCCCTTATCCAGAAAACTCTCCTATTGTCAAAGATCTTTGTATAGCCTGGATAAAACGGGAAATGTCACTACTTAATTCAATCTTTTAAATTCAGCCTGTAATTTCTCTGGAAGATCATGCACTATCAACATGTTACCTGGGTTCTCCATTACCTGGGCTCTCTTGCCTGTGGCCCAATACCTGTCAGTAGAAGGTATAAGCATCTAAGCAGGAGTCCCTGAGGCACTTGGATGTTCAGTAGGCAAAGTATGATAAATGTTTGATAAATTTAGGAGATGTGTCTCCGGCCCACAGGGGTAGTGAGTACAGCTCCAGAGGAGATTCTGAGGCTCACTTAAGAGTGTCATTTAAATGCAGCCTGGCACCTACACCGTCATAAAGATGCTAAACCGTAAACAATTAATAGCTAACTGCCAGTAATCCAGGATCTAGGTCTGGAACCCAGTAACTTCCAAAATATCCCTTTTTATGAGAGGCAAGTCAGTAAAATTTTGTTCCTTCTGTGTCTACCTCACAAGAGTTCATCAAACTTCAAAAACAGAAACCAGGTAATTCACCCATTGCCTCGCTCACTGGGGAGCTATTTCTTATCCGTGGTTCCTTTCTTCCTCTGAAAAGAAACCACAAGCCTCCAATTTCACTGAATCTGTTGGAAAGTAAAGTTGGCATTTGGATGTGGTTGTGTGTAGCCCTCAGGGATGAGAGAAAGAAAGAAGAAGGCTCTGTGCCAGGTGATGGGCAGACAGTTTCCTGCGTTATGAGGTAATGGTTAGTGATGCTGTTTGGCTGGAGGCTCACACACTGGTCTCTTCAGTGTGTGCCAGTGTGTGTGGATGGTGAAGCACATTTTGGGATGCTAGGGAAGATAGAGTAATATTTAAAGTGGCATAGTAATAGGTAACTAATTTTTAAATATTGTTCATATCTTTCTTATTACTTTGACCCTCCCTTCCAACATAATCTCTTGACCCTGTAAGGCATATATTGGTTAAAGAAAAAAAAAAAAAAAA